GAGAATACCTTTGTTCAACCTGAAATGACTCATTTAATCATCCAAAACAATATAGAACACATTAATTAACTGAAAAATGTTGCATAGTGTGCCTTTAATTAAAATACTTAAAAGGATTGTAATCTTTTTTGCACATTTGTTTTACAGGAAGACTGATTTTATGTTTGCCTCTGATCATTTTGATACCTCGCAGCCGATGAAAGTCTGAAATTCAACTTCTAGAGAATTATAATACTGTAGAAGACCCTTAAAATAGCATTGCCAGCCTAGCTAAAAGTATGCCCATGTATCATTGCCATATGACTTTCATGTTTTGATTTGAATTCCTGAAATAAATTATATTTATATATGTTCTTTGAATTTAGTTTTCTGGACCACCTGTAGCAATGCATCAGTGACACTGGGAATCAAATAGTTTGTGTAAAGTTGGAAAATCAGTTTTTCTTAGCCGACATAAGTTTGCATGGAGTTTATAATTCATCATTAGATTTGTCTCTCCTTCTATTTTACATCTAAAATCATTTCGACCATCTAAAAAATGTTTCCTCTAGAAAACCCACCTTTTCACTAAGGCATGTGGTAATAACTGAGTTATAAACGCTTAACATTTCTCATTCTTAGAGCCCTTTATAGAGATTCTCTCTGTGCATTTCCAATACATAATTCATATATTCAACAAACAAACTGATTGAGATTTTTTCCGATATATAGTTTTGTTGTTGTACAAATGGATGAAGTGGAATTGTGATGGAATCCCTGGAACATTTTCTTCTGTAGAGCTTCTTTTTCGTCCAACCCAAAAAAAAAAATAATAATAATAAAAAAGGAAATCCCTCTTTTTGTCTGACCCTGTTCCAGGTCCAGGGACTTTGCAGACAGCAAGTACATGCTGCACCATGCACAGTTTAACAGCGATGTCCTCCCAGACAGCTACAAGAGGCCCTACCTCATCAAAGTGACGTCTGAGTGGTGCTTCGCCTGCTTAAACATTGAGCCTGTGTGGAAAGAGACGGTGCTGGATCTGGAACCTTTGGGTACAACAAGGTTTTTCTTACATAGCAAAAACTAACCCCCACGATTTTGAGCTACATTAAATTTTGAGTCAGCAGAATAATGTAAAGGGCAGCCTGCAGTGTGTCAATAGCTCTGCAGAGAAGGTGGTTGGTGTTTAAGATTTAATCCATTGGCCCTTAATGTATTTGTGCTAAACTGACAGTACTTTCTTTCATGGGACTTATTTTCTTTCATATTTACATACATACATAAATACTTTTTGTCATAGCACTGAACGTGTGATCATTTGTTTTTGATAGGATAAATATATCACAGATTTTAATTATATCTTTTTGACAGTAATATTTTGGAGCACTGTGTCACTTGGATGAAAAAAAATATATTTTGAGGAGAAAATGTGTCTTTTTAATAATTAATTGGGTTGTTGTTTTTCTTTTTATTGTACCATAATTGAAATAAAAATTGATGTTGAATCAGGTGTGGGCATCGGCATTTTGGACCTGGGCTATGAGCGTCGCCTGGCCAACCAGCTGGGAGCTTACAGAGCTCCCTCCATCATCGGGCTGGTGAACGGCAGGGTGACTTTCTTCCACCAGGCTGTGGTACGGGAACACCTGCGACAGTTTGTGGAGGATCTGCTGCCTGGCCATCTGGTGCAGAGGGTAGTAACACTTTGTCTTCACCCTCAAAAAGGCAAAAAAGTATAATTTTTTTAACATCCATGATCTTTTTTTCAGATCAACGACAACAACTATCAGGCTTTCCTTGACAGCTGGCATGTGGAAAATAAGCCCAGTCTGCTGCTGTTTGACCAAATTCCTTCTGTGCCTCTTCTCTACAAGGTAAAGGCATCTGCTGGCAGTTAGACGTTGGCAATCTGAAAGACGTCTACTTAGAAATGCGCCAATTCAGAATTAAAATGAAGAAAAGTTTGGGGTATTTCTCTTGAATAGCAGGAAAGTTTACCCCTTTATGGGCATCTGTCTTTGATTTATTAGTTGCAGTAAGTTGATCTCTTACAATTACACACTTTGTTTCAGAAGCAAGTCTTTCCTGTTTAAACAGTTTACTGTTTTAATGTCTTACTTTTCTGACCTTACAATAATCTCAAGTTGCCTTCTGGGATATATACGAGGGCGTTCAATAAGCAATGCCCCTGACCCACTTCCACTTGTTCAATCTAGCTGAAAATTTGCATGTGCAATTGTTTATATCTCTATAGAGTAGGTGGCTAATTACAGCTCTGAGATAATTGTGAATCCAGTCTAAAGTGGAGCCTGTTTAGTGTTGAGCAGTGATCCGATTTTTGTATGGCCTTGTAAGGCCATATGATGGGGCATCATCGCCATAAGTTACTTTCATTTATCAAAAGTCTCCCATGGTGTGCATCCTTTCAAATACAAAAGCCGGATCACTGCTCGGTACTCAACAGGCTCCATTCCAGAGTTGACTTAGTTCAAACACCTGTAAATCAGAAACCAAAATAAGTTCAGAGCTGTAATTTGCCACTTGATCTATAGAGATGTAAACATAGAAATGTTCATCGCTGCTTTTACTTGGTCTACTGGGACACTTAAAGTTTGAAGTGGACAAAATGCCTTATTAACTTTCACACACCGATTGTTTTTATCACTTAGGGGAGATGAAGTCCCACATTTCATCTCACTTAAGTCATAGACCATTCAAAAATAACTAATCTCTATCCATCGTATCTCTAGTATCTAGTATTGTGCAAATATGAAACACTGCTTCATTTTGATCTTCTTGTAAGTTCAGATTCTCTATCAGGGCTTGAAAATAAACTGTGCTGCGGTACGCTTCAGGTCTGAATACAGAAATCTTCAAAAAAGCATACGTCTGTATTGGACACAGCTTGAATGAGCAGCTTAAATATGCAGAACAGAGGTGCTCCACAGTCATTTTCCTCCATTTCTCAGTCTCTTACTGTCATAGTTGTTTCTGACCAATGGCAGCAATGATTGTCACATGTGTGGCTTTGTTCTGAGCTATAAACCACTTACAAGAAATATGATTTAAATGCAACCTGAACCTAAAATAAGTCCTAATTCGTTTGAACCAAGGAAGCGTATCAAAGGACTTTTCTGAATATGCTTTATCTAACATAGCATTAGTCCTGAGTGGAAACGAATACATTTAACATCATATGGTTAAACAGAACATGGGAAGTTATTAACAAACTTCAGTTCTAATCATTTTATTCTTTACCATCCTTTAGCTGACAGCGTTTGCCTTTAGAGACTACGTACGCTCTGGCTACGTGGATCAAGGTGCATCGCACAACACCAAGCTACTGCGACAGTTTAACATCAACACCTACGCTCCCACCATGCTGCTGTTTAAGGAGGATACGGAGAAGCCTGTAGACATCATCCAGGTGAAGTCTGGAGCATCTCCTCTGATAAAAAGCTATTTAAAAAAAATAAATAAATAAAGGTTTATTTTATTTCTTTGAAGAGCACGACTTGAATTTTTCTTGATGTTTGCTTCTTCCAGGCCAGAGGGATGAAGAAACAGCTCATGGACGAGTTTGTTTCCAACAACAAGTTCCTGCAGGTGCCGCGGCTCGTCAACCAGCAGCTGTTTGATGAGCTGTGTCCTGTTAAACAGTTCCACCGGCGGAGAAAGTAAGCAAGTTATAGCAGATTGTAGATGGTTTGATTAGGATTCTTTCTTAAATAATTACTAGCTTTTTTCTACCTTTCCTCTATATGTGAGACTGAAAATAAGATTCCCAGATACTTTGAACATTATAGTGCGTCAATGATACCCAGGAACTTTCCTTTGACTAGAATCCACTACATGTTGGGCAAAATCCATATTTTTCAATGTTTGGGAAATGCAGAGGCTGAGAGAATAACAAACAGTATCAAAGATAAAAGGTTGTCGACTCCAGTGGCTTGGAGAAGTATTTGAATGCCTGATATAACTTCAAATCACCACACCTGACTTGCAAATTAATCTCAAGTTCACAAAAAAAATATTTTGGTCGCATTACACTTTTCACTCCAGAGCTTGCACACTGAGGGGAAGAGACTTGCCGCTAGCTGAAGATAGATCCATACATGCCAGCAGAAGAAAACACTTTTCCACTCAACAGTAACCGTAAAGTCTTGCAACAATAAACTCTAGACATGCAACAAAACAATGAAACCCTGAAGTGAACCATCTATGGGGGGTTTAAACATAATATTGGCTGAAAAAAAGAAAAAGCTATTTGAATTTTTTTTAAAATAGCTCAGGCCTGATATTACTAGTTCACTATATGGATGTATTGGTTTATTTTCTTATTTTTGTGAAATTAAATTCCATTTATTTGCATTCAGCCCCTGTAAGCAAATACTTTGTAGAACCATGTTTTGCTGCAGGCTGGTGTGTGACTTTTGGGACATGCATTTAGCAGCTTCATGCTGGTAGAGACTCATCACATGACCTCAGTTTAGTTAGATGTGGACTGACCAATTGTAATTATATACAATCCTTATGTTTGTATCGAGATCCGTTCGTTTTATCAGGCAAGCTGGAAGGTGAACCGCTCCCTATGTTCAGTCATTTATAGCCTCTAACAGCTATTCTTCCTTTATTAAAACGTTTACCTTCAACTATCAATACATTTGTGCTACATAGAATAAAAGTTGTACAATTCAGCTACTAATGCTGATGGTGATTCAAGCTCTAAATACACTGGATGTGTAGAAAGTAAGTGTTGTGGAAGGTCTACACCAGCCGCAGTGACATACGCTGGGTGTCCAAATTCAGGGCATTTATTCAGGAAATAACCCAGTCTCGGTGGGGTAGGAACCCCAGAGCTATAGGCTACGTTCATACTGCAGGCCTTGATGCTCAGTTCCGATTTTTTTGTGAAATCTGATTTTTATTTGCGTTGCCGTTTATATTTCCAAATATATGCGCCTTGTATGTGATCTGCTGTGTGAACTGCAGTCATATAACGCAAGTGTCCCGCGTGCGCAGTAGAGAACTCGATAACGTCACAGGCCAGCGTGCTCTGTGTTTCCGGAAGTAAACATGGATGGTAGTGCCGGCGTGCATCTAGCGGTCTTTTCGAACCATAAAAACTGAATCTTTTCACATGGTTAAAGATAAATACTGCTCTCCGCATCATCATCTGCCATTGTTGTTGTTTTTCTTGCAGCTTCTGCGTAGCAAGATGCATAAAAGTGACCTTTGTTGGGTATTAATGACGTTCAGGTTGGATGAATCCGACCTGACACAGGTTGCATTTGAAAAGATTGGATTTGTATCGGATTCAGGACCACATAGCCAAGTGGCCTGGGTCGGATTGGAAAAAATCTGATCTGTGTTCTTCAGACTGCCATTAAAAGATCAGATCCAAAAAATTGGATTTGGGTCACTTCAGGCTGCGGTGTGAACGTAGCCATAAAGAAGCTGGAAATTATGAGTTGTGAGTCGCTCTACCCTTCAGCAGCCATCCATAGCTTTGGTTAAAAAAGGAACCTAGACATCATGAGAGGACGGTTCTACGCTCTCACTGATCACTTGAAGAACTTTAGGCTTTAACATGAGGAAGTTATTTAGTTACAAGTAATGTAAGCTGTTTTGATCAAAATCAGTGTCTCGACTATCTGCATCTGAAATATGTGTGTATTGTGCTGCTAGTATTAGTGTCTCGCTTGAGGAAGATGAAAGCCGCCACATGTGTAGCCTACAAGTAGGAAGCTGCTCTGCTGTAACATGTCTGGTGCTTTTACTCCTTTGAATTTCTGAAATCTGTTAAAGTCACTTTTGCTTCAGTTGTGAAAAGCTTTCTTGTCCCTTCTGAAAAAAAATGTATTCATCCACATCGTGATGCCGCCGCCACCGTGTTTCATCGCGGGGGAGGTTTGTTTAAAGGGATTTTATATCTTGAAATCATGAACAGTTTTTTTTGCATAAAGGCCTGAAGGTTCAGTGTTCTTTTATCTTTAAATAAGTAGTTTGCATATTTTGCTGTGTCTTCAGGCTTTTTAAGAATTTTTGTATGGATATTTTTTTTTCATATCACTCTACCATAAAGGGTCAGATTAGTGGAGTACCCAGCTGGTGGTGTACCTTTAGCAGAGCCTCAGATCAGTAAAACCTGTCCAAGGTCATCATCAGCCTCTTAGCTGCCTCTCTGTTTAACGCTCTCCTCCCGTGGCCCATTATATTTTTTATGACCGTCACGGTTTAGGACTGCAGTTACACCATTCTCTTTCCATTTTTCAGACGATCCATTAAATGAAGCTTTGGGAGCTATTCAGAGCCTTGGATATTGTTTTTAAAAAAGTTTGCCTTGGATGTTTGTTTAGTAATGTTCTCAAACAAACTTTTAAAAGCCATTAGAAACCAACGGATACATACACAGATTAAATCCCACACATGAGGAGCGTACTGTCTAATTAGCAAATTGCAGACGGTAGGAAGTTACACTGGATTGTTTTTCAAAGTTAACATCCATGGTTCCTTTTCCATCAGCCTAATAATTATGCACCACTTCAAGTTGGACTATGGAGTAAAACATTTAAGTCTGTTGTTGGGAAAATGGCAAAATTGAAAGAAACCTGAATAAGGAACTGTATATCAGGGATGTATGAATAGTCCTGCAGATCAAACCCTCTTTATTTCTCTGCCTAGTGCTACGTTAAAACTGCACGCTACTGAAGCAGCAAATGCAGCTGGTTTACATGCAAAGTCAATGATTAACACGCATCAAAAGGTCCTGCAGTGCGTTTCAAGCAGCAGGAGCAGAACCTCTCGACGCATCAAAGCAGCTTAAGCAGCACCACATGAGCTTCTAAGCATCTGAGGCGCATGACGCGCTGCACAGGCAGCATCTGCTGGAGTTGGAAAAATTGCACTTTTGCTGCTCGACGCGCCACATCAACCAAGCAGAGAAGATGATCTGGGAGCTGACAGCACTGCTGATGCAGATCGCTATGATCACTCCACTGAAACGGCTCATTAAAGCCTAAGTTAATTTAAATTTCGAAAACCTGCCGGCAAAATATGTTCGATTCTATTATTCTGGTGCCTGCAGATTGGATTACGTACATGAAAACCACTAACATCTCCTTCCAGCCACCAGGAGCGGTAGCAGAAAACCACTAAGAGGCGACCAGACCTAAAGATTTGCCGAACAGGATTTTGAGTGACAGTGCACAGCCGGTGTACGGGGGTCTGAGCGGCACCAATAGTGAAATAATATTTGAAGGCAGGATCGTAATCTTGATGAACCGACTGCACAGATGGTGTTTAAAAACTGATCACTGCAAATATTGCAAAGCCGCTCTCTGCCATTGAACACAGGAGCAGCAGAAGCATCAGACACACTTTACTGGACGCCCTTCAGGAGCATCAAAGACGCACTTGTGGCGCGCCCTTAATGTGTACAATGATCAAAAATGAAGCAGCTGAAGTTTTTTTTTTCTGCCTCTAGCGCTTGCCCTCTGAACGTAGCATAAGATTGAACGGTTACACAACACAGATTGACTCTTCCGTAGCATTAAATAGATTATAAGTGAATTAATAATAGGGGCGTTGCTAGGCAAAAAG